GAGCGGCTGGGCCTGTGAGCCATGGCCGCTGAGCCTGCGCGTCCGGAGCCTGTGCTCCGCAACGGGAGAGGTCACAACAGTGAGAGGCCCGCGTACCGCAAAAAAAAAAAAAAAAGCAGACACTCTTTAATTTGTCTTAATAATTCACAAAAGCATTTAAGGGTTACAGTCCTCAAAACATCTTTATGGATCTCCATTTTTACTGGTCTGAGAATTTGCAAGTGCTTGTTTACAAAGGGCTCTGGCTGACAAAATGCTAGTAAAATTGGCTTTTACTATAGAAAGGAACTAGCAAAGAAAAGCAGAAAATCTTCCATTCCTTTCTGGCTTACTTCTTGGTTTCCACTGGCTCAATGCCTATTTTTCCTTATGTCCTAAGGAATGGGCCATTTTTAGTCTTTTTCCACGACTTCAGGAAGCCCACCATAATTGTCCTACCACATGCTTCATGCTCCACAGGATTTGATGCCTGCATATTAGAAAGTGTTTTTTTAAGAGTTTGAAGACCAGCATCGTCTCTCTAAGTACTCCTTCAGGCTGCTGTGTTCCAGGGACCATGGCACCTTACCTGTGGCTCCTGCATGCTTCTTGTAGTATCTAAAAGAACAGGTGGTTATTTGAAGGCACCTGGGCCAGGCTGAGTAACCCAGCTGCTAGGTGCCACACTCCTGATTTGTCAAGACAATGACCCTTCAGATCAGGAGCCTGAGAAGCTGAGAAACCAGAAAAGCAACTTGGGCATTTCTTTAAAGAATGAATGTGCTAACTGGAGGGACTGCAAATGCAGTAGCCAGAGAGGAAAAGAAATCTTTCAATCTAGCTTCAAAACTGGGAACCTGGGTGAGAAAAGCAAGTCTCCTGTCTTAGGAGGGGAGGTAGCCCGGGCTGCTGGTCTTCACTAAGGTCAAATAAAGTCTGAGGTTGGCAGTTTGAAGTTCCAGAGTCCATTTCCAGAGAACAGGAGGCATCAGCCCTGTGTGTTCACTGGGTGTGTGGCTATCAGGCAGGTCTGTGTGTGATGTGCTGGGCAGACGGGCAGAGACCTTGGACCATGTGGGGAAGCAGCAAGGGTCCTGCCACAGTCATCCAGCTGCATTCCAGTTCTAGCTCTGCACCTTCTAGCCTCGGTGACCTTGGACAAACTGACTGATTTATTAATCAGTCTCCGTTTCCTCATCTGTAACATGGGAACAATGGTGGTTTGAGGAGTATGGAAGACAGTGAGTGTATGTAAAGCGCCTGACGATACCTGGCAAATGATGTCTTTCCCATAAGTTTCTGTCCTGTTATCTTTCTAAATACCAAATATTGATTCATAGCACAGCTAATGTGAGCAGCTTTATATTTTCTATAGTCTCTCCACCGATGGTAAGGAAATAACATGTCTTAGATAAAAATGTAGTGACTAAATCCCACCCCTTCATTGGACCTATGATGTGAAAAAATTTTAATAACAGATGAAAAACCTTGCAAAGCTATACAAGTTAGATGGCCTTACACTTATTTCTATCCAAACTGCATTCTACCATTTAAAGCAGGGAGAGGGCCTCTGGGCATTTTGACCAGTGACTTTGCATCATTAATACAGTCTGGGGTTAAAAATCACATGCATTACACTCAGCTGAGTTAAAAGCATAGAGCATTTTGTATTTTTAATATAATTTCTCATCTTGCTCTGACCTCTCATCTCTCTCTGATAGGGAAGTGGAGGGAGACCAAATAAACTTGACAACTAAAGACAACCCCTTCTCTTGTTGACATCAGCCTCCTTGGGGTAAATGCCCAGTCTTCCTGGAGTTCACATCTCTCCTTCTACCTGTCAGCTGGGTAGCATCTGGGCCTGGGAGGAGGCTTATGTACCCTCATGGGGGTGTGGGAGGGGACCTTGGGTCAGCTTGTCACCTCTGATTACTTGCTGGTCTTTGCTGTGGGATGACTCTGGTCCACTCCCTGGGTACCTTGGACTGGTGGCACAGAGAAGTGGCTCTTTCATCTGGTCTTTTGGGGTTAGTGTTTAAACCCACCCGTGGTCCTGGCTGGTTGCCTCTGGAGGTGGAATCCTTGTACTCTGTGGCCATCTTGTTCCAAGTCCAGGAACCTGGAAATCCTCTGGCTTCTTAGTACCACTGTATCATCCCCCAGGAGTATATAGAAACTTCTGTATTCCATGTGTACCAAGTGCAGGCCTTGGGAAGCCAGAAGCTCTAATTCAGGGCACCTAAACAACGACCCCAGCCAGGTTAACCTACCTGGCAATGGTACCATATTGCTGAAGCTTCAGGAAAAATGCAGGCTTCTGGAGGGAGGGGGAGGTTGAGATTGAAATTGTCCTGGTATGTTCACAGGAAAGCAAGGAACAAGTCCCACTGCTCAGGGGAATTCCTCGCGTGCACAGTGTGGGCGTCAGGAGCACACATAACTGGCTAGTTTCATTTTTCCTCGCTTTTTCCATTTCTTCCTCCTCCCAGCTCCAGAACAATTTTCAACTTGCACTCCAGGCAGGTGGGAATGCCCCTTACGCCATATTCTAATTCTCTATACCTGTAAAATTCCATATTGTCACTCAATGTATTGCTTTGCTTACATAAAGGGAGTTTTTGAAGTTTAGAAATCCCTTTTTCTCAAAGCTTAGCTTTCAAGATTATCATTTTATTAAGCACCCGAAAAATACTAATTTGAGGGTGAAAGTTGAGCAATGCCTTCCTCATTCCAGCAGGTATTTACTCATCACGTAAAGAATAAGAAACATTGACTTGATGGATGGAAACCATAAGGAATCATGACTTAAAGGAAAAGGAAGATTATATCACTTTAACTTAAAAAATTAATACCTGTTAGGCATGGTTTGGAGATTATGTCACCTTGATTATCTGCTGTCATTCAACTATGTAAGTGGAGTTAGGGATAGCACTGGGGAAGGAAGGTGCTTTGCTGAAGGGCCCATCAAAGCTATAAGCATATTACCAGTTTGTGCTGAGCCCGGGCAACTGGCACTTACACAATGCCTACACTGAAGCCTCCAAAGGTGGGGGCTTTTCTGGGCTGTCTGCCTTTTCTGGTCACTATATCTCATCATTAGAAGCATTTACTAATTTCCTTCCTTATGGATTCATATAAACTCATTGTAAGAGTTGATCAGCAGTCTTCTTTGTCTTTGTTTTTAGGAGGTGAATTTCTACTCACCTTGCTTGATTTAAAGACCATAAGAAGCTGCAATCCTGCCTAGCAGAACTTTCTCAGAGCTTTCTTGAATCCCTTTAACAAATACTCATTGAGTGTCTATGTGCCAAGCTACTGTTCTGGGCACTTGGCATGTCTCTCTTGCAGTACCAAGTATGGAGGAGTAGCAAAAGAGAACAATTTGAGGAGAAGAGAAATAGAAAGGGCAGGATTAATTGCATTGGGAAAGCACCAAACACACCATACATCATCAAAATCATGATGATGATTTTGCCTCTCTGCAAAAGTTTTGCAGTCAGTGGAATCTGTTACAACTGCACCCATATCAGTACCTTCTGGAAACACAATGGACCCTCAGTAACTGGAATATTGCCCTTTATTAAAAATGAATAAATTTTATTAATCATAAATTAATCATAAAATTAAGTACCATTTTACTCAGAATGAATCTGCAGTGCTGGTGATAAAGTTCTTTTGTCTTTAATTGCTCTCCTCTCCAGTCTCACTGGTCCTGGTCTTCTCAGCGTTCTCTACTTTACCAAGCTTTGTACTGAAACATTTCACCTGCTCTGTCTACAACCTGGTGTCCTCCAAATTCATGGAGTCACCTTCTTCATGGAAATCTCTTTGACTCTTCCAGCCAATGCTGACACGAATTCTCTCTCTGAATTTCTGTCATATTTCTAGTTCGATTCACATAGTTGATCTCAAAACTATACTGATGGCAGGATCTAGGTCTTAAATTTCTTTGTATTTTCCATAATGCTTAGGAAAATTATATGCATGTTGTAGGCCTAAGTAAATAAATAGGCAGGGGATGATGCTAAAATAGATAACACCTAGTAGAGCATGAACACTGACCATTGAGAGTACTCTGACCAATTCATATTGTCTGAACATCAGCCACACTTACACACATACACACACACACATCTATATGTAATGCTCACAATATTATGCAGGATGGATATATTACTCTCCGTTTCACAGATGAGAGATGAGGGACCTGAGTTTCAGAGAAGTTTTAAATTACTTGCTCAGGACATACAACCAATGGAAGACCCTAGATTTGTTGCACTCACCACCTGTGTTCTTTCCACTGTATTACTACTCTGATTACTACTTGGTGGTGGATCAGGTCCTCTGTCTCCTTGGGCTGAGATGTGCCTTTCAAAGGAGAGGGGGTTGGGTGACTGTTGAGTCTGACTAGAGCACATAGGTAATCAGTTCACTTAGACTGAGCCACCGCCATTGTGAGGAACTGCGCGGTGATACTTAACATTCATTTATAGCCAGTTTGCACAGTACTTTGCCTGTGTTATGAAGATTTGGTCAGAGAAGTTGAGTTTTCAAAGCCAAAGATCTGGTGGCTTGTTGGATGGTTCACAGTGAATCCCTTGGAACCTCTTAGTATTTCCATTTTATCTTAAGTGGTAAAAAAAATTATACTTGCCTTAAATTTCTCATAATTTCAAAGTACTTTGATCCTGCGTTTTTAATATAAAAATAAAATGTCATCATTATCCAATCATCTAGTTGATAACTGAGAAAAGAAAGGGCTTCTCTTCTCAGTTTGGCCAGTCATTAGTAAAGTGTCAAGTAAATGACATTTTCTAATACAGGAGAGAGAGCTGTAAGCCCCTCAGTCCCATTTCCTGTTCCTGAGCACACAGGAACATTTCATTTCCTCCTTGTTGCGTTGGGGTCATGTGACAGGGTCCTGGCCGAAAAAATTAGGACTGAAGGATATAAGCCACTTCTAGTTCTGCCCCTTAGAAGTATCTTAAACAATATTCTGGCTTTTGCTTCCCCGTCCACAGTGAGTTTAGAAGCCACTGATTTATGATTCCAGCATCACGAAAGGGAAGGAGTTTGAGTTCCTGAATAACCACTTGGAAGACAGCCTCTAAGGAGAGCTGCCAGACTTGCATTGGACAGTGACACGAGGGAGAAATAAACCTATGTGTGAGATCACTGAGATTGTTGTTATAGCAACTGGTATGTATTGCTCTGATACAGAAATTGGTACCGGAAGTGGGGTATTGACATAACCAAATCGATTTCTTTGACTGTTACACTAGACTTAATGTATATCATTGGTTTAGGAGGTTAGCAACAGGCTGAAAAGAAACTATTGGGTTGGCCAAAAAGTTCATTTGGGTTTTTCTGTAAGATGTTATGGAAAAACTTGAACGAACTTTTTGGCCAACCCCTTAATACCAGAACCTGGAAAGATGGAAATTCAGGTTATGCAGTGACAAATCATTTGCTACAATTATTGCCTGCTATTAATTAGAAGGTAGTCACATCACAATTTTTATCATCAGAGGAAATGGTTAGGAAACAGAGCCTTAGTAGTGTTTTTGGCTAATCTAGATATATGTACTACAGGAAAGAGATGACTCAGGAAAGAATTCATGAGTTTGCTAGCAAAAACAGAATACAGAGTCCAGAAATTCGGGCTATCAGATTAGAGAAAATAAATTTATTTTAGACTCCGACAGTAAGACGTGATACTAAAGGAAGGCTTTAAGTGGCAAATATCCAGTAAAAGTTCTCAACTGAATGAAGTTACTTGAGGTAAAATATCAAATCAAGGGTATGGCCTTCCCACCCATTGTTTCTGATAGCCTCAATTCATTTAGGTAATTACGTTAAAAGAGAGAAATGCATGGAGGGAAAGAGGAAAAACAAAAGTAGATTTGATAACGATGTCTAGAAAATAACTCTGGGTATGCTTACTGGCACAAGAACCTGACTGGAAGCAAATATATCATATGCCTTCTAATTTTTAGAATTGCATTGCCAAAGAAACCAGGGGCCTGGACTTGAAACGTCTTTCCCTGCTCAAGGCTTAAAACAATTCTCGAGTTGCCAACCCATTCCAGACTGAGCGGAAGTCAAGCTTTTAGAGGTGCACTGTTCTGAAGGAAGGGTAGCCCCCCACCACCAAGCCCACTTCATATGTGGCCAAGAAGAAGAACAAAAAATGGAGTCCTTCTTAGAGCCAACTTCACACACATCCACCCTGCCCAGAAGGTATGGGCTTCACAGTGCTGACCCGGAGGGGCTCAGCGTGGCTGTGGACCAACATGCTGAGTGTTACCTATTATTTCCCTTTGCAAACGGGATTATTTTCCTGTTCTTTTTTCCATTATAAATGGGTTGTGATTGGTGAGGAAGTAGGATACAGATTACTTGTCTTTTTAATATGTAGGCTACTACACCTAGAGATCCTACATAAGACTGATGGAGAAGATGCTGCATTCCCCGGGTGTTCTGGACATTGATATGGTGGTGGTGACTGGATGAGACCTTGCATTATCCTCCATGGGGTGAGGTGAGCATGCTCTGTGAGTGAGAGGAAAGTAAAATAGATATTTGGTGTCCAGAAGTTTAGACTCTTGCAAGAAACTTTTAGTGTCCACAATTTTGGAGTCTCTTCTTGGACATGCAGGAAGATTACATTTCCTGGGTCACTCTGAAGTTAGATGGGCTATGTGATTCCCAAGCTCCAGCCAATGGGACAGGAACAGAAGTGATGACTGTTATTTTGAGGCCAAGTGTGTTAAAATCTCATGTGTCTTCTTTACATTTTCTCCCATCTAAATAGCTGGAAGCAAAGAATTCTAAGATGAAAGAGCCACACAATGGAAGATGCCCAAGCAACACCAGATGCTCACGAGTAAGTAATAGCTTTGTATTGGGCAATAGTACTTATATCTGGAAATTGCTTTTTATAGCAGCCTGCATTGATTATCTTGACTAATATACTATTCTAAATGGAAAACTAGTTCATAAAGCTGGAAAAGCTCTTTATTTCTCTTGAAAGGAGTGAAATCGTCCTCCTGCCTGATCATCTTCATCACCATCATCTTCATTTGGTTCCAAAAATCCTTTTTTAGTATCTGTAACTTATTGGGCACCATGGCAGAGATTGGAGTGCAAAAAGGACTATGAAACTGAGGCTAGCCTTGTCCATTATCTGGCGGGAAAAGCATACAGATAAACAAAAATGACATAAAGAATTATATCCTAAGTGTAACAGCTTATAACATAGTTAATTCTGTTTGGAGGTGGGGAGGGGCAGTGATAGGTGCAGATCTCAGAGAGGAGGTTACGCAGGTGTCAGGTTCTAAAAGATGAAGAGAGATTTTCTAGTCAAATAAGGCAGGTGGAAGGCATTCTTTCTTTTTTATATATAGCATATATTGTCTATTATACTATTATACATTATTAATATATTGTTATGATGTTATTAACTTTAGCGTTGTAAAGTGAGTGTAAAGGGACTACCTTTTTAAAAAAAATTTCATTGCAGTATAGTTGATCTACAATGTTGTGTTAGTTTCTGCTGTACAGCAAAGTGAATCAGTTATACAGATACATATATCCACTCTTTTTGAGATTCTTTTCCATATAGGCCATTACACAGTATTGAGTAGAGTTCCCTGTGCTATACAGTAGGTCCTTATTAGTTATCTATTTTATATGTAGTAGTGTGTATATGTCAATCCCAATCTTCCAGTTTATCCTTCCCCCTACTTTCCCCTGGTAACCATAAGTTTGTTTTCTACATCTGTAACTCTATTTCTGTTTTATAAATAAGTTCATTTGTATCATTTGTAAATTAGATTCCATGTATGACTGATATCATATCATATTTGTCTTTCTCTGTCTGACTTACTTCACAGTCTCTAGGGCAAGGGTCCCCAATCCCCGGGCCATGGACTAGTTAGTACCAGTCCACAGCCTGTTAGGAACCCGGCTGCACAGCAGGAGGTGAGCGGCAGGCAAGCGGACGAGGCTTCATCCGCAGCTCCCCATCGCTCCCCATTGCTCACATTACCACCTGAACCATACCTCCCCATCTGTGGAAAAATTGTCCTCCACAAAACCGGTCCCTGGTGCCAAAAATGTTGGGGACCGCTGCTCTAGGGCATTCGAAGTAGAGGAAACAGTGCAAAGGCATGCAGATATGAAAATCAGGAAAATAAATTGATTTATACAGTTAGAAATGAAAAGCATATTTATCACTCCCGTCAGCATCGATTTTATCATCCTATCGTCTAATTTATTTGTTAATTTTCATAGAGAAGGACCACATGGATTTGATCCCTGTTTTCCGGAGGATCTCAGTCCAAGGGAACATAGGTAGCAGATGAAGCAATGACCAAGTGCGTTAAGCTCTGTAATTCACTTGCTATGTAATATGGGCCAGGACACTGGACTTGTCATGATGTCACTAGTACTGTTGTACTAAAGAGAGAACTCATATTTATCCTTCCTGACTTATGCAAATCCAGTAAATAAAACGTGTGAAACCCGATTTGAAAAAACATATAAATAGCATAACATGTTCGTTTATGTTTTCAAAGGACAGTTAATGAGGGAGGATTGGGCTGGTATGAGTCAGAGTCATAGCAGTTTGTATGCCATCACACTAAAGGACATATCTTACTTCTTTCTGGTAGCAGTTGACTCAGTGTCCTCAAACAGATCTTACCTGGGGACTGTGGGACACCTGGAGGGCGAGCCTCTCTTGGGAGATGCATGCACACTGATTAGAGCGGTCCATGTGGGCAGGTGGGGCTGTTTACTCAGTATGCATGAGGGCAGTACCATCACAGCAGGAATTGGGATCAAAGTTTAAGAGGGAAATAAACATTTTAGTCAGAGGGCGGCTGGTTTGGGGGGTGAGTGGGTAAGGCTGTAAAATGGAAAATAAATCACCAGATGTGAAGCCGAGAGGATGAGGAACAAGTCAGGATGTAGAATGTAAGAGAGTTGGGACAAGTTGTTCAGAGCTAAGGTTTCAGGCAATGAAGGCACTGAAGGTCCACCTTTCACAGTGGTCCCTTTTCTGCGGCCTGGATAGCACATTTTAATACATAGCCGTCTAGGACATGACAAAGAGATACAAACCTCAGTTCATAAACTCAACATCATGGTCCAGGTCTTGGGACTTGTGAGCACCAGGTGAAATAAACACATGGTCAATTGTTTCCAGCCATTGTCTTTCCTCCCCATTTCTAGGTGTGGATCACACTTCAAAGCTTCAGCATAGCAGTGACTCTTGATCTATCAGTGACACCCAAGGAGGCTATGCAGCAGGCCTGGGGATGCTATTGGCCCTCATAATTGGAAATAAGTCCCTAAAATACCCCATTTTCTCATGGTGGGCCAGCATAGAGCTGTGACCCATGCATCTATCTAAAACCCTCTTAAGCCTGTTAAGATTATCATAATCGATAACCTTGCAAGGACACCAGTCTTGTATAGTCAACTACTTTGTAACGTATTTCCATGTCTTTGAGATCCTAAACCTGCTTTGTCAAAGCATGAATTCTCCTAGTATTTTGAGATTGAGTAAACCATTTCATTTTTATCTGCTGAGATCTTAAAGACTGTGACTGAGGTCTAGAGCTTTATCTTTGTCATCTAGGCCTATATAACATTACCTAACCAAGTCACTAGTCATGCATCTAGTCACTAGAGAAGCTCAGGCCAAAAAAACCCAGCCTAGAGACTTGGATGACATCGCAGCCCATCCAAGCCATCAATAAATCCTTGAAGCTTTAACCCTGCCCTCCTCCTATCCCCACCCCTGGCCCCCAATTTACAATACCCTCTCTTTTAGGAGACGGAAGTGGAATTACTTTGCATTGGAATTAATGGTATAAAGAGCTACCTTCTCATCTGAGTAATGCTAATTCGTCTCCATCCCTGGTCATTCACTACCTATTAGAAATATCCTGACAGCCTGCATCTCATTACCATTGCAGCAGGTCCAGCTCCCAAGAATAACCTTCTAAGGAGGATGAAATGTACGCCAGTGGCATCTAATACCAGGGCATTCACATTCATATTTTTAGCAGCATATATCAGTTAGCCCAACCTTTAGTGTACTCTATGTACTTTTAATAATCTCCATAAAAGCCTGATTTCCAATCCCTAGGCTCAAGCTGACAGTGTAAATAAAATCACCCAAATCCACGGGGTAAGAGAAATGAAAATGACAAGGATTAAAATTTGGTCAAACCTCTTTCTTTTTAAAAATTCTGCTTCCCTTCCAATTGGATCACGACCCTCTGTGTGCTCAGCTTAGGACCAGACGGTATGCTTTCACTTTTATTCCTATCTGAAGCAGGCTTACAGTATTTAGTGAGAGTCTGTAAAGAATGTGTGCTGGGTAGAGAGTTAATACCATAATCCCCTATCGTTGGGGTCAAATGCTGAATAGAGCAAAAGAATTAGAAAACATGTTACATACAATGGCAGGAAAAAATGCATCAGCACGCTGTTCTGTGAACACCAGCATCTATCGCCCGCAAGTAATGGCCATGAGGTAATAGAGTGGATAAAGAGATGTGTACTTGAAGTCCAGTGTGTTCACAGAGGCAGCGATGGAAGACTAGAGCACAAGTCTTAATCCCCATATACTCTGGGAGGTATTTGTCACCATTTTTAATTGCTTCTTCCCAAGTACCTGCTCCAAGTTAGTTCCTAAGTAACACATGTAGCCACTAAATTGTTTCCCAGAGTTGAACCCTGAGCTCTCTCTTTTCACTCTTCATCAGTGGGTGTGAATATTGTTCTCAAAGTGCTGTAATACATCTGTCTCTGGAGAATTCTCTTAACAAACAAGTAGAAATTTGAGGTACCGCAGGCAAAAATTGTTGAACAGCCCCCTTCCACTGTATCTTGGGAAAGTCAACCGAACTTCCCTGGAGTAAGATTACAAGCAAATAAGTAACCTTGTGTGGAAGTTCTATAAAGAGAAGAGAGAGAGAGTGTGTGTGTGTGTGTGTGTGTGTGTGTGTGTGTATCAGTGGTTTGACCATAAAGTGACAAGTTGAATTTATTTTAAACAATATCCTTTAAAGTAGCAACTATTATACATTCAGCATTTAAATTTTTAAATTTATTTTTAAATTTACATACAGTAAATTTGGGGGTGTAGAGTTCTATACTTTTGACAAATGCAGAATTGTGTAAGCACTACCACAGTCAATATACAGAACAGATCCATCACCCTCAACAATCCCTTGCGTTGTTTCTTTGTAGTCAAATCTTTCACTCCCAAACCTTAAAAATCTTAAATTCTTATAAATACAGTATTACACATGTATAACCTGCACGATGACCAAAATGACAACCTGAAACCATATATATAACAAAATAACAAAAACATCATCTATACATTTTAAATATATATATACTGTTGTATACATAAATAACTGGAAAGCCAACTTTCTTTTGTCAAAAAGGCTACTTATTGCTCAGTAAGTTCAGTGAGTGCAGAAATAGTCCTCTAACCCACTATTGTATCAACATGGACAAAAGAGCTTATTAAATGTACATTGAATTGAATATTAACCCACAGACTGAGGAGTGATTTTTACTTAAAATTGTAAAAGCTCATGACAACTATAACTAGAGATGTGACAGTCTCAGCATTGTAATTGTACCTTAAACACACAAAGAGAGATGAGGTAATAAGGAAGAAGGTAAAAGATTGTGTTTGTGTGTGTGTGTGCATGCACACACATGAGCACATGTGAGATTACACTACAAATCCGTTAGCACCCTAGACTGATGGAAATTGACTTATTTTTTCCATAAGACCAATACTATATATATATATATATATATATATATATATATATGACTAAATGAGTGAAAGCTAATGGCCTTAAGGAGAAAACTATTAGAAAAATTATTAATAAGGATTTTAGCGTTATGTTTGTGAGGATAAACCTTTGCTCACTTAAATAAGACACCATGATTTACATGAAAATACTGAGTACGGTTTGATTCTCACCAGGAAGTATTAGACATGTTATGACTAGTTCAGCACATCATCTCTTTCCTGAAGGGTATACTGACTAAATTACTACAGGAATCTTATAGCAAGCAAATAAATCACTATTGCTTAAAAAGGAAGTATTAATATGTCCTTAATTTTATGCATTGTCTTCTCAAGCTTCTTTACGGGCTCCTCCTTACCTAGCTGGTGTTCTTTTCCTCATATGTCACTCATGTTCATGGAGGAATCATCTATACCTGTAATTAGAGACTCCAATCTACACCTCCAACCCAGGTTTCCCTCAAGAGTTACACATTTTCCAGCTTCCTACTTGATCTCTCACCCTGTATGACCCGCAAACCCAAACTTAAATTGTCCAAAATGGAGCTCAGTATCTGTCAAACCAAATGGTTCCCTCTCCACAGAATTTTCCATAAACTTCTATTAGTTCTTATCTCACTTCCTGTTTCTTTCATGGGACTGCAGGCGATGAACATGTGTCTCTTCCCCAGTGCCTGGCACAGTGCCTGGCATCTGGTAGGCATTTATAAATATTTGTGGAAGGAATGAGTGCATACGACACTCATATGCATATAAATAGAAATTTATTTCCACCCCAAGCCCCAATGTTTATGAATGGTTTTTAAATGGATGAGTACCTCTGATACACATATAGATATAAGCATTTATTTCCATACCAACCACCAACTACCATATCTACATAATGTCTAGAGATCAAATACTGTCTGCTTTGTGCAGCAGGGAAAATAACTAGCACATTTCAGTTTCTTTCCTATTATCTTTTCTCATTGAAATCATATTCTTTTTTATTCAACATCATAACATAAGCATCTTTCCTTGTCTTAAAAAGGCAGGGCAGGAGTAAAGACACAGATGTAGAGAATGGACTTGAGGACACAGGGAGGAGGAAGGGTAAGCTGGGACGAAGTGAGACAGTGGCATGGACATATATACACTACCAAATGTAAAATAGCTAGCTAGTGGGAAGCAGCCGCATAGCACAGGGAGATCAGCTCGGTGATTTGCGACCACCTAGAGGGGTGGGATAGGGAGGGTGGGAGGGAGATGCAAGAGGGAGGAGATATGGGGCTATATGTATATGTATGGCTGATTCACTTTGTTATAAAGCAGAAACCAACACACTACTGTAAAGCAATTATACTCCAATAAAGATGTTAAAAAAAAAAGTCCCAGATATTATTTGCACCAATTGAATAATACTACCTCAGAAAGAAGTTCTTGCTTTATACCAAAAGTTCAGTTGGGAGCATCGTGAGGACCTCCTGTAGAAGCTACTCCTGTTCAACCGTCTATACTCTACACCAGTGATTCTCAAAATGCGGTCCCTGGACCAGAAGCATTGGCAGCATCTAGGAACTTGTTAGAAGTGAAAATTCTTGGTCTCCACCCCACGCTTTCTGAATCAGAAACTCTGGCGTGGGGTCTGAGATGTGTGCTTTAACAAGCTCTCTGGGTGATTTCAATGTACAAAAACAGTTTGAGAAACATTGTCATACACTCTCCAGAGAAAGGCCTACCTGCTGCATGGGAATCTTTCTGCACTAACTCTTTTTCCACGCACTCTCACTATTCAGTTCACTCCCTCATCAGTTTCACGTCATATTCATATTGAAAAAAGCCTTCTGTATTTGATAATGAGTCTTTAGAACAAGGACTGGTTTCTTGTTGTATGTAAAACATAAATAGAAGTATGGTATACGCAGTGTTTTTTAACTTAGTTTTAGGAACAGAAATTTGCTTCAAATGAAATATTATGTAGAAGCCCTGTGTGTGTGTGTGTGTAGGGGAGACAAAAGGAATCACTGTGTTTAAATGTGGTTGAAGGGGTGGGGGAACCAGAGTCTGCCCACTCAACTGGGCTTCCTTCCACCCTTTTTTCCAGGATGCCTCCAGGGAACTGAATCTGAAAGCCTCTGAAGCAGTGGAAAGGGAACGTGCTGGGGAGTCAGGAGACCTGGTCTCTGGTTTGTTTCTTTGGGCAATTCATTAGGCATCTGTGAGCCACATATTCCTTACCTGAAAACGATAATGAACCTGAAATTTCCAGCTCCCAGTTTCTTCTTCTTCTCTTTTATTGTTTAGCTTTCCGAAGAAAAAGATCTGAGTTTTTGGCAAATTCTCCCTTCCTTGGAGACACAGGAATACATGTTGGCTGTGTCATTTGCAAGTACTCTGTCATCTCCTTCAGTATTGACTAACAGGCATTAATGAATAGACAGGGCCAGGCTGCCACCGTTTGGAGTGCCAGGAAAGAGAAAGGAATCTCCCACTCGAGCGCCATTAGCATTGAACAGATTTTCAACCCCAGCATTTGACTGGGACTATGGGCTGATGACATGGGGATATGTGAAGAATTCAGGGAGTAGCAGAACAGAGTTGCCTTGGCCTTTTCTGCAGCCTTCTCCTCACCTTCTCTATCCCCCTCCCCTTCCCTTTTCTCCTCTCCTTCTTCCCGCCCCACTCCTCTTCCTCAGAGGGTTTACAAAGCACTGGCCTACAGTCACTCTTCCCATATTACTTAATCTGACTCTCTGTATGTGCTTGACACTCCCAAGACCAAAATCTATGATGGCTAATGAAATGTCCAGGTGTCCTCAAGTGTCATGAGTGTTACTTTCACACTCTATCCTGCAGGAACCTCTGTATTTCCATCTTCTTTTTCTTCCTGACCCTTCTCTTCTTCCTTTCATTCGCCCTGACTCTACTGAGGCCACTTCTTAGAGACAACTCTAAACCTACTGGTGGCTATCAGAGTGAAGGTGGGAGATGAGCCCAGGTCACAACTATCCCATTGTTATTGGCTGAATGTTTTTGTCCCTCCCACCCCCTCCATAATTCATATGTTGAAGCCTAAGCCCTAATGTAATGGCGTTTGAAGTGAAGCCTTAGGGAGGTGATTAGTCATGAGGGCAGAACCCTTATCAATGGGATTCGTGTCCATATAAAGGAGGCTCCAGAGAGATCCTTCTGCCATGTAAGTACACAGTGAGAAGATGACCGTCTATGAATCAGGAAGCCAACCAGCCTCCAGAACTGGGAGAAATCAATTTCTGTCATCTATAAGCCGCCCCATCTATGGTATTTTGTAGCCAGAACAGACTAAGACAGCTATCCTTATGTAAAGTAGGGTTTGCGTGTGTCTGTGTGTGTGTGTGTGTGTGTGTGTGTGTGTGTGTGTGTGTATAGGGTGCTGGTAGTGGAGCAGTGGGGAAACCTGAGGGGCAAGTTGGGAATGATTTTATACTTTTGTAACTTTGCTCCTATAGTCACCTCTGATGCCTCTGGAAAGAAGGTCATTCTGGCCTTGGCTCAGCAAATGACAAGGGGCTAATTCTCTGAGATGCAGAGACCTTGCTCTATCAGTCATTCTCTGATGTGTCAGAGGTTTCGACAGAAATACCAGAGGCTCTTTAATTAAATTTGTGGACCAAAGATGGCCTGACAGGGAAAGCATACTGATAAAAATCTGTGTTATAGCTTACATTTTACATTAGACTGTACTACTTGTGCACATATAATTATATTTTTCAAATGGAATTTTTAAAATGGAATCTACACCTATGTGTTTTTGTTTGCTTTTATCATGTGGAAAACTAAAGTATAGACTGCTTGGTTTGGACAGCTGGCAGCGTTATCCATCCCCATTTTTCTCTCTCCTATATTTTCAGCATCCCCCGAGCTTTAGTCTCTTTGCCTTCTGCATGTAAATGCGAGTAAATCTCACCTATCTTTCACCTTTGTATTCCCCTTTACCCTCTGGTCTCCTTCTCCTTTTCTCTCAGTCAAGCTCATTGAGACAAGAGTTAACGCTTAGGGTCTACCATGGTGCCTCTGCCTTTTCCCTCACAATTACCCATGACTCCTCCGGCTTCCATTGCCCATCAACCTCCATCCCCACTCTGCTGAAACTGCTCTTGCTAAGTCACCTGTCTCAAATCCCATGACAACTTTTCAGTCACTATTGCATCTGAGCTCTGTAAGAAAAGCTCATCATTTCCTTCCTGATTTCTTCCTCCTTCGGAGTCTACAACCCCACTCTCTCCTAGTTTTCCTCATAGCTCAAGAATCCATTCCTCCCAGCCTATGCTCGTTCTCCCTGAGGTTCTGTCTTGTATCCTCTGCTTTTCTAGGCTATTTACTCCTCCTGGGTAAAACCATCCACACCCAGGGGTTCAGCCTTCACCTATGTGCTGATAGTTTCCAAACCTATACCTTCAGCCCAGATCTCCGTCTCGTGAGCTGTAGACATATTTATTTTAGAATGTTTCCATTTAATAAGAAGCTTAAAAGTAGGTCTGTTAAATTAAATTTATCATCATAACATTTAAACTCTGCTCCTTTAACCTGGTGAATAGCACTGTTCAACCACCCACATGAGATACTGAGATTCTTCTTAGACTTGACTATACCTACATTCAATCAATCAAACGCTCCTAGTATGACAACCCTCTCTAATGTCTCCACCAACTGTCATCACTACTGCCAGTATTTTAGGTTGTGTTCGCTTTTCATCTGGGCAGATGCCTCTGGGCTCCCTGCCTTTAGTCTCCCATACCTACAAATCACCTTCAATCCATCCTCCAGGTGATCTTTCCAGAACAGTATTGTCCAATATGGTAGCCACAAGCCACATATAGCTATTTACATTTAAATTAATTAAAATTAAATAAAATTTAAAATTCAGTTACCCTGGCTACATTTTAAGTGCTCAATAGCTCATGCGGCTCATGGTTGCCCATTGAACAGTGTAGATAGAGAGCATTTGCATCATTGCAGAAAGTTCTATTGGCTAGTGCTGTTCTAGAACATAATCGTTTCATATCCCTGCTGGCTTCCCAAATGATTCCCCACATACTTCAGAGTAAACTCCAAACTCCTTAGCTTGGCATGTAAGATCCTGCCCTCCAGTCCACTCTCCCTTTCACTGTACCCTCCACTTGAAACCTGTGCTTCTGTCCTGTCAACCCACTGGCCCCTGTCCCCATGCTTCTGCTTTTGGTTATGCCCTTTCCTCCACATAGAAGAACTGCCTCCCTGTGTCCCTTTAGAACTCCTGCATATGCGTCAAACCCAGCTCAAGCACCATTCCCTCTGTGAAGCTTTTCCTTGATTTTCTAGGCAGAGTTTAGACTCACCTTTTTATATTTTCCCTGGCAGCTTATACTACTATGATACTTCTCATTCAAAAAAAAAATCTATTGCTTCACTGTGGAAGGCTGAAGAATGCCTCCCACCCCAAGACATTCACATCCTAATCTCCAAAACTGTTAACTATGTTGCCTTACATGGCAAAAGGAACTTTGCATATGATTGAGTTATAGCACTTGAGACAGGGAGATTATTATGGATTATCCAGATAGACTCTATGATGTAGTCACAAAGGTCCTTACTAGAAGGATGCAGGAGTGTCAAAGTCAGAGATATAGAGAGAAGAAGGATATGGGATGATCAAAGCAGAGTTTAGAGTGATGTGAAGATACAGGAAGGGGCATTAAGCCAGGGAATAAGGTGGCCTCTAGAAGCTGGAAGAGACAAGGAAACAGGTTCTTCCCTGGAGCCTCCAGAAGGAATGCAGCCCTGTTAACCCATTTTGGACTTCTGACTTCCAGAACTATAATATAATGACCTTGTGTTGTCTTAAACCAGTTTTCCACAACCCCCGGTCTGTGCACCGGTACCAGTCCGGGGCCTGTTAGGAACCGGCTGCACAGGAGGAGCTGAGCGGCAGGCAAGTGACAGAAGCTTCATCTGCCGCCCCCCATCGCTCACATTACTGCCTGAACAACCATCCCCCCACCCGCACCCCCCACCCTCCCTGCGTGGAAATACTGTCTTCCACGAAACCAGTCCCTGGTGCCAAAAAGGTTGGGGACTGCTGTTTTTTGTTTGGTTGTTTTTTTTGTTTTTCTTTTTGCGGTACGCGGGCCTCTCAGTGTTGTGGCCTCTCCAGTTGCAGAGCACAGGCTCCAGACGCACAGGCTCAGCGGCCATGGCTCACGGGCCTAGCTGCTCTGCGACATGTGGGATCTTCCCGGACCGGGGCACGAACCCGTGTCCCCTGCATCGGCAGGCCGACTCTCAACCACTGCGCCACCAGGGAAGCCCCTGCTGTCTTTATTTATTTATTTTTTTTGCTGCATTGGGTCTTCATTGCCGTGAATGGGCTTTCCCTAGTTGTGGCGAGTGGGGGTTACTCTTCATTGCAGTGCACAGGCTTCTCATTGTGGTGGCTTCTCTTGTTGTGGAGCAGGGGTTCTAGTCGCACGGGCTTTCCATAGTTGTGGCACACGGACTCAGTAGTTGTGGCTCACGGGCTCTAGAGTGCAGGTTCAGTAGTTGTGGCGCACGGGCTTAGTTGCTCCGTGGCATGTGGGATGTTCCTGGCCCAGGGATAGAACCCGTGTCCCCTGCATTGGCAGGTGGATTCTTAACTACTGGGCCACTAGGGATGTCCCAGGACCGCTGTCTTAAACCAATAAATTTGTGGTAACTTTTTACAGCAGCAGTACGAAAGTAATATATTTACTTTTTCATCCATTCATTCATACATTTATGCCACATATCATTTGACAGGAATTTGCTGAGTACATGCTTTGTGCCAGACCTAGCATTATATACTAAGAATAATGAATAAGACTCCATTGTTGCTGGGGGAGGTATGATGGAGGAAAGGGAGAAGGCAAGAGTCCTGGAAACTTGGAATTGTAAAGGTAGTGAGGGGCCAGACTATGAAGGACCCCTCATGCTGCTGCCTAAAGTTGAGGCTGTTTTCTGTAGATGATGCAGAGCATCATTAGTTCATGGTCAGATCTTTGGCTGCCCAAGCATGGAAGTGGATTAATTCTGGAGGCAGGAAGACCCATCAGGCTGCTGCATTTTTCTGGGTGAGAACTGATGAGGACCAGAAGGAGGGCTGTGGGAGGATAGTTAAGGAAGTAGATCTGGTAACAGTGGGGTGATATTTCAGAGGTAGAATCGATGGGATTTTGTAATCAGTTAAATACCGTGCATGAGAGGGCAGAAGCCAAGATGAGTCTGCTCCAAGATGACCCCGAGAACGGATGACTCTAAGTCAGTGCCTGGCACACAGTGGATAAGAAACAATTGTCTTGAATTGGATTGTGTGGCAAGAAGACAATGGTGTAGATCATCGCTGGGAGGAAAGGATGATGCCAATGAATCTGAATAGTGGAGGAAAATAAATAGAAGAATAAGTGTGTGTGTGTGGGCACAGGGCGCTGGGGGAAAAGGATGTGAAACCTGTGTCTTGTTACTCCGTATGATTTTTACTACTCGATTTAAGCTTCTGCTCTTTAAGCTAGAACCATGTTCAGAGAGTGAATTTAGAAACTGTACAACCACCTTGAAGATGCCAGATTTCTCTCAATGACAAGTTTCGCTATTATTTGGATCTGAAATGGTTTTGAGCAGGGGAGGGAGAGTAAGGGGTGGGGGTTGACTTTTAGTGCATTTGCTGCATCATTGCGGAATGAGGGCAGTGCCTCAGTTTTCTCTCTCCATACCTCCCTTTGCTGATGGCTCGATCTGAGAATGAAATGTGCTCTGGCATTGGGTGGTGCTACATAGGCCTCCCTCACCCAAGACCCTCTGCAGCGTCCATGTGGTGGTGAATATTTGCCATACTGAAATATACATCTATGATCTCTGCTCTTCCAAGTGACATCCTGGTTCCACAACACTGATGGAAGAATATGCACAATTATCTAGCAAAGGCCCTGAAGCTCTTGTTTCCCACCAACCTCACTCTGCGGCATACTGACTATGGCCCCTGTATAACAGAACAGGGTCCATGGTTGGGAGACAGATCTCTTCTTGGATTTGTGTTTACATAAAACATTGTTCTAACAGCCATGAATTGTGACTTTGCAGAGGAAAGGGGAAAAATCTTATGGTTTAATTAGTTTGGGAAATTCTGGGTTAAACAAATGTACTTAATTCTCCAAGACCTCCCAGAAGCTTTACTCTAGAAATGCGTGCTGTGAATATCTGAGATAAAGGTAAAGATTTTCCTAAACATATTTGACTCCAGAGCACTATAAACATTCTGTGGAAAAGTGCTCCCTGCATCAGAGTTTGGAAAGAGTTGTCCTACTGAATTAGAGCGGCCAAGGTGTTTTTATATGCCTGGCACACTTAGCAGGAGGCTATAACAAAGAACTCTAGCCATTATCCATCTTCACAAAGGCTACAAGTCAAGATTGACTGAAATGGTCATTGGACTAATCCTTCTATTCTGACACATTTAGTTTGTTGTGTGTTTTTAAAAAAATTTTTGGAGTATAGTTGATTTACAGTGTTGTGTTAGTTTCAGGTGTACAACAAGGTGAATCAGTTATACATATACATATATCCACTCTTTTTTAGATTCTTTTCCCACATAGGCCATTACAGAGTATTGAGTAGAGTTCCCTGTGCTATACAGTAGGTCCTTATTTGTTATCTATTTTATATACAGTAGTTGTGTATATGTCATTCCCAATCTTCCAATTTATCCCTCCCCTCCTTCCCCTCTGGTAACCATAAGTTTATTTTCTACATCTGTAATTCTATTTCTGTTTTGTAGATAAGTTCATTTGTAGCCTTTTTTTAGATTCCACATATAAGCGATATCACATGATATTTGTCTTTCTCTGTCTGCCTTACTTCACTCAGTATGACAATCTCTAGGTCCATACATGTTGCTGAAAATGACATTATTTCATTCTTTTTTATGGCTGAGTAATATTCCATTGTATATATGCACCACATCTTCTTCATCCATTCCTCTGTTGATGGACACTTACGTTACTTCCATGTCCTGGTTATTGTAACTAGTGCTGACACATTTAGTTTGGATTGGAACTCACTTTTGCTGATAAGCCAGAATATAGGTGTAAATTAGAGCCACCTCTGTCATCCTTCTATATCTTATCACACTTGGAGTTTCATTTCCTCTCCCTAGCCCAACCCCACAAATGGCTTCTTACAATAAAAACAATTCATGTTGGTTTCCTTCTTAAAAATTGTTTTAAAAATACTTTGAAGGGCTTTCCTGGTGGCGCAATGGTTGAGAGTCTGCCTGCCGATGCAGGGGATACGGGTTTGTGCCCTGGTCCAGGAGGATCCCACATGCCGTGGAGCGGCTGGGCCCGTGGGCCATGGCCGCTGAGCCTGCGCGTCTGGAGCCTGTGGTCTGCAATGGGAGAGGCCACAGCAGTGAGAGGCCCATCTACCACACACACAAAAAACAACAACTTTGAAAACACTAGATAATTTTCTTTGGATATTGAAGCATAATACAATAGTGCGTAGTTATTTATGTTCTCTTTCTCTTATTCCCATGCGAATACAAATGCACAGTAGTTTGCAGTTTTCAGTGAACTTTATCATCTATAATCTCATTTGATCCTTAAAACAACTTGACAAGGAGGTGATGAAACCCCATTGTCTTAAGTCTGCTATAACAAAACAGCACAAACCAGGTGGTTATAAACAGCAGAAACTTATTGCTCAAAGTTCTGGAGGCCAGTATGCCAGCATGGTCGGGTTCTAGTGAGAGTCCTCTTCCAGGTTGTAGATGGCTGACTTCTCATTGTGTCCTCACAGGGTAGAAGGAGCGAGGTAGCTCTCTAGAGCCTCTTTTATAAGGGCACTAATCCCATTCATGAGGGCTCCACCCTCATGACCTAATCACCTCCCAAAGCCCCACCTCCTAATACCAGCACATTGGGCATTAGGTTTCAACATATGAATTTTGGGGGGAATATAAACATTCAGCCTATAACACCCATTTCATAGAAAAGTGAAGCAAATAACATATTTGGATGCCTAGTTTATGCCAGGTATTTGGTGAAGCGTTTTACGTGTATGAGCTCATTTAAAGTTTTCTGTATTAGGACAGGCTATCCTCATGTTAGAAATGAAGAACTTGAGACTATGCGAGTGACTTAACTTGCCCAAGGCCACATAACTTATAAAAGTAAGGTGTGGTATTTAAACCCATGTTTGTTTAACCCCCAAGCCCACTCTCCTTCCACTACGGCACCCTTAAAAAGAGGACGCCGAGAACAAGGGCAGCTCCAAGATTTGCACAAGTTCACACAGCAAGTTAGGGAAAGTGCTGGGATTAGGACATAATTCACTTGACTTTTAGTCCAAGGGCCTGTTTACTACATACTTTTGCCAGGTCACTGGAAGGTGTTTTCAGGAGTAAGTTATGCCCTGTGAAATGTCACCAACAGCAGCCACAATAACAACTGCATGAGAGCAATGGGAAGAGGAAAAATAATCAGTGGCTCCAAATCTCCCACCTGTCCCTCAACATCTTCAATGTTGCCAAGTAGAAGAGCTCCTTCATTTCTGCGAAAAATGCCACCTTAACTTCATTCTCTTTTGTCACATAGGTAAGGTGCAATATACTTAAGGAGTCTGGGTCCTCCTTACCTCTTCTTTTCATTACCAGAAAGAAAATGGAGCAAATTCCACCACCCACCCTTTAGTGACACCTACTGTTTCCACTAATCAGACGAATGTGATTCAGTAACATCTCCCGACCTTCTCCTGTGTGGGAACCCCTGTGTTGGTGTCATGGAGACAGCTATGGAGGTGAGTAGGGCAGACTTTCTCAGAGTCTGCAGTCTAAACATGGTATGAGAAGCACTATTGAAGAGGTACAAACTGTCAGGAAAGTAAGAGGTGAGGCAGTTAGGGAGATAAGGAAGGAGCCCTGGGCATTTAGCATGGAATGTTCACCGTTATCACTCAGAACAATTACCGGGGTGTCCTGCCTGCAGTCACCATGTACTTACTTCATCAGTGACATTTACTGTGTAGTTTCTGAAAAACAACAGTAGGGCAAATTTTTGTTGCCATTTCCTCAAACCCACAGCCTTTTTAAAGCTTTCCTTGATACCAGGTTGGGGCAAAAAGGTAGTTACGCTTCTGTGTCCTGGATCCATCCTGAGAGCTCCTTGACCCACATGAGACAGGAGTGTGAAGCAAAAAAGAAGGGTCTGGTCTTTATGGAGTTGCTAGGTCCCATTCCTCCTCTTGGGAGGTGGAGGTATCTGTGTTCATCTTCTGCTTTCTGTTTGCTAACTAACTCTTCCCCTCTCTTGAATGCAGTGGTGGGCAGAGTCTGAGCCTGTGCCCTGTGCAGGGTTGTTGCTGGTGGAAGTGATGTAAGAAATCATTCTGCTTCTCTTCCTGCTCATTCAGGCTCTGAGCGTTGGGCAGAAATAGAGTTGTCCAAAGGCGAAATCGAATGGATGGAGCCAAGGAGAGGAGTGAAGGTAGCAGAATCTATTTCCAACGTCTTGGGGGATTATGCTATTATTCATGGATTAGTTCCTTTAGCTATTGAATGAGGATCTATAGGTCAGGCCTTACTTCTATGATTAACAAAAACTTTGAGGATAATAAGGGAAATATGGAAATAGGTTTAGGTTTCTCAAAGAAGAGGCACTTTATAAATCCAAGGCAGTTTCATACAGCCTCTTGGGTTCAAAATTCCAGTGGGCTCACATTGGCCAAACTTATGTGTGCCATCGCCCAATAATTTTCCCTCTTACACATTTAGGCTTCCAGATCGTTAGGCTGAGAGAAGCAAGGACTTCCCTTGAGGAAATACAGAACTGTTTTTCCACTATTCCCTCCACCCCACCATTGACTCGGTGAATCTCTGAGAATCTCTGGAAGAGACTTCAGAAATCATTTAGCCCAGCTGCCAATATATTCCCTTGATAAGCAGACAAGTGGGAATAGAAAGTAAAAGTGCAGTTAATTCTCAAGCGTTTGGATGTACATTGTCCACAGACAGAGAGTGAAAGATTTGTGTGTTTGGAGACAGTGCTTGGGGTCTCTCCTTATCTGTTCCTTCTCCAAGCTAAATAATCACAGATCATTTCACTGGTCCTTAGAGAACTGCTTTCAAACTTCTGAAATCACATAAATTGAAGCCATCTTCATCTAACTAGGTTGATGCTGTCTTCATTTTAATTCCAGAAACTTTTGGCTATTCCCCATTCAGAAGGGATTGACTGCATTTGAAATAGGATGACAGAGGAATTACTCTCACTGAGATTACCCTTCAGCTACATCCCAGAACTGAGAGACTCTGCTAACTATGCTATTGCCATAATGACTAGCAATCACGGCACAATCACGGAAATGAATTAAATTATTAATTTCAATAGCACCCCATGGTGCGTTTATAAATCCCACCATCTGGGGAACATAAATATGGAGGTCCACATTTTAAACTTGGAGGCATGGTGCTCGGTGCCAAGGGCTGTATCTTTGAAGGCAGTAAAGATTTTTCAAGATACTATATGTGGAGCAGCAAGCTGTGCATTTGAGGAAAGGATCTGTCCCTGGGTCTCTGTTAGCTTTATTATTTATTTAAGGCCCTCTTCTCCCTTATTTTTTAACTGGTTCTTATCGATAGAACCAATGTATAAAAATCTTGGTTTATGAAGATTAGGGGATGGGAAATAAAATCAAACTCTGACTTGAACTGTTTAGTTATTCATTCCCTTTTCTCTTCATTTCCTTTCATCCTCCCTAAGTCTCTTCTCTTATTGACTAGTTTCATTCATGTAAATCTCTGTGTTAATAAGTTCTTCTACTGAGATAGCTATTCTTGGGGTTTTTTGTTTGTTTGTTTGTTTGTTTTGCGGTACGCGGACCTCACCGCCGTGGCCTCTTCCGTTGAGGAGCCCAGGCTCCGGACGCGCAGGCTCAGCGGCCATGGCTCACGGGCCTAGCCGCTCCGCGGCATGTGGGATCCTCCCGGACCGGGGCACGAACCCGCGTCCCCTGCATCGGCAGGTGGACTCTCAACCACTGCGCCACCAGGGAAGCCCTATTCTTGGGTTTTGAATGGGTTCAAAATCTGTCTGAAACTTTAAGATCATTGTTCCTGAAGCAGAGAGAATGGAGGTCCTAGAGGAGTGTGTAACCTACTCTAATCAAAGAGATTTAACTCTCTTTCCTTATGTGGAACCATTTGACCAGATGTTGGGGTTCCGTGAGCCTTCCCTGTTTGCCATCTGTGATGTCCCCAAGGGCTGGTGAGAGAGGGGCACTTCTAAAGAGCATATGTAAATGACTTCCACGGAGCCCTGCAGGGACTCCCTAGGCTACCTTCTTCCCACTATGGATCACCAACTCGAAGCCAAGCAACAGCCCAGGTCTCTGCCACTGTACCACTATTTCCTAATATCCACAACTAGATTTCTAGCCGATGAGTTCTCTTAAGATACACCAGGAAACTGCATAGCTTCCTGCAGGATAAATGATTCTAAAACATCTGGGGTGTTGTGTAGCTCTTGTTCTCTGTGTATCCAGGGCTTTAATGCAGTGTGTGTGTTGGCTGGCTGATGATGAAGATGACTGTTTAACGCTCCTTTTGGTGCCTCTACGTGTGCACGTCTAGTCATACGTAGCTTAGTTGGTCCTGTAAATTAATGTAAGCCTGCAAGCCAATATGATTTCTAATTAAGACTGAGGGCAAACTCTAAAGGTCTCCCCATCCCCCATACTGCCACCAACAATTATTGATGTTCACAGCCATTCAATGAAACATAGCTTTCATATGTAAGTTTAAAATATTTGGGGAGGAGCTATTTTTAGCAGCTGTCTTTTAGGTTGATTCCTTTCAATTCCCTATAGAGCCGAAAGTCAGGGTAACTTGAGATCTGGTGATCTGTAGCTTTGGGAAGAGGTGGTATGTGCCTGATTAGAGTTTCATTTCTTCATTGTTTTAGATGCCATTCTCATAACTTAGCCAGATCAGCTTCTCATTAGCCATTTTACAGCAAGAGAATAAACAGAACCTGCAATCATGATAGACTTAAATGAAACTTCTGATCTTCATGGCAAGGTCCTTGCCAACAGCTTCCATTTCTGTCCCTGGAGTGTAAACATAAATGTTCATCAAATTGGAGGAGCTGGACCTCTAGGGACTCCTATGTCCTGAGTTTATTAATGACAATGAAGGACCCCAAATCAGTGATTCATGCAATTTAGCCACGGATATCCCCAACCTCTGTGGGAGTTCGTAGACTGGAATAATTACAAACTAAATAGTGATGATAAGGAGGAAATGTACTGTAGTTGGAGTTAGTGGGCTGAGAAAACAAATGTTTCCAGTCTCAGGAGACTCTGTTTGTTGTTATAAAGGAGAAAAGTAGAAGCAAAGAGACCTTGTCTTGATCTCTGTATGAGTTTAGTAGCTGGGAACGACCATATAAAGTTATCATAAAAAACAAGAGGTGATAAACACAAAAGACTCTTCAGCATCCTGCCCCCTGCTCGGCCTGCCACCCAGCAGCGGGAAGACAAACAGTTGGCACTGGTTTGAGATGAAAATCTGGAATGGTCACTGCTTTGCTCCCGGATCCAATGCTGGTGAGACTGGAGGAACCAGTGTAACTTTGCCTGTATTTGCTTCTGACTCAAACACCAAAAAATCTCTCACACAAAGAAGTGAGAAACGTTCTATTATGAGTTGGGGAGTTCCATGTGAGCCTGTCACAGCAGAAGCGCTTGGTAATTGCAAGGCTTCTTTTCTCTTTGGGTGTCAGAGTAGCTCACCCTAAGCCACCACCAGCCCTACATTGGTGACTGAATCCCTCTGAGGCCCAGGCCAAGTGGCCTGCCCAAGGCCACGATGGAGGGTCCAAGTAGACCACAAACTCAGCAAGCGTGGCTTCCTGACAGAAACAATACCTCTCCCCTACAGTCTCCTTGAACCTCACTCCCTGGATAGATGCACTGTCTGACACTGCCCTGCAGCAAATAAAGGGAAAGTAAAAAACCAGCACTTCTTTCTAAGATGAAAGCATATGGCACCATCAAGGGGGGGTGAGTGGGAAGAAGGATGCCTGGGAAGATTCAAAAGTATGTTGGATACCTCAAGGGCAACTACTATGAGAGAAGAAGATGTCTTCTCATTTCTTGAGCAATATCGAAACAGCCCTTCACCCCAGGAAGGGAGAATACCTGCCTGGGTGAGGACCAGCTCTAAACTGACTCAGCACTTCTGTTCAAGGATGTTTACCCGGGTGACGCCCTTTCAGGTGAATTTTTCTTCATAGTAAGATCTGATGGCCGATTTAATTGGCCACAGAATAGAGAAACAACACAGCTCTATGGAGGATTATTTAGGGAAATCTAAATAAAGTCCAGAGAACTCACACATTGATCCCTTCTAATATGGCCACCACGAAGTATGCGTTAAGTTGGCAAACGTCAAAACAAGATCTTTCTAGGACCCACCTGGCTTCCTATATCCTTCATTCTTCTACTCAGATGCTTGTTGAGTTTTTCATGACGGAAGCAACATCAGATCTTGCTTCTTTAGAAAAACCTAGTGAGGAGGTCTGGAAGAGGCTGATTTCTGCTGGAGGCTCTCTCTGGCTGCCCCAGGCCCCGCCCAGCTGCCCTGCAGGCTCCGAGAGCAGAATCCCCACACACACCTGTAACCCATTCATGGAACCTGGGTGTGTGGTGACACACCTGTGAGGAAGCGTGGCTCTCCTCTACCCAGGTGTGCTTGTGGGGTGGCTCTCTGAAAGGAGAGGGACACTGCTTTACTCATACCTCTGAATGTCTGACTGCAAGCCTGTCTCTGATGTTCTTTTAGGGCTGTCTCCAAAGCGCCCAAGAAATTAACCACAAGAATCTTCTACTCTAGGGAAATTTAGTTACATACGGATTCCTTGGGGACTTGCCTGACATTATTAGCTATTACTGGGTATCACTGGACATCACTGGGAATCACTGGATAACCTATGTGATTATCATGTGAGTAGGTCAGGCCCATCCATATTTCAAGGCCATCTCTGCTCCGGAGCAGGGGACCCCTCCCTGTCTCTGGGAACCATGACTTCTAGAGCCTAAAGTTGTGGGGATGGAAAACTCAGATTTCTCAAGTGGGCCACTGGGAGTGATGGTGAGCAGGGCCACTCCTCCTTCCCCTTCTTGGTCCCCATCCCCATCAAATCCCCCTATCAGGGCACAGCACCATATGTTGGTTGTTGATTAAAGATGTATTTCTTATCCTGGAGGACGGTACCCAGTTCTTGCAGATATCATCTCTAAGCTAGCACTTCAGCTGTGCCCTCAGAAAACCATTTCATTGCTTTATCAGGTCTACAGATTCTGTGTGTTGTCATACTTAATAGAACCAATGGATCCTTTGGTTGTGTGCCCACTGCCACACCTCCTTTTCTATAAAGTGGGTCCCTTAGTCAGAGGTGACATTAAGTGGAATATTAAGTGGATAGTAAGTGACATATTAAGTGGATGTCAGTAGATTAAACGTCTGTAGTCAAGCAGACCACAGCCTTGCAAACAGGATATATGTTGATTTCGATTAAGAAGAATTGCTGCCCCATCCAGGGTGAAAAGAATCTCCTTTGATCAATTTACCACCAAGTGGGTGGTTGATCTCAAGGGATGGGCTCAACACTAGTCTTTGTGTGTCAAATGAGACATTTGGTGGTGACAACAACTAAGTTGGCTTTGATAAGTGGGAGCCTGTACTTTAGGGCCCAGGCATGCCCTCTATCCCCGTCACGATGGGTATCTTATTCATGAACCCATCACACCAGGATTAGGGTGACTAATGACAGAGGCTGGATGACATCAACTGGCTTAGTTATTATGTGTAGTTGGATATTTAGTTGACTATTTATTCCATGGTGTTTACTCTCTGATGGTCATTAACATAATCTAAAAAGATTTTCATGTTTCACACCCATTCTTATAGATCCATCAACATGCTTCTTTCTCAGATTTTCTTGTCCCTGATTTTCCAAACATCTTGGTTCCAGGTCCCTGCCCAGCCAAGCCACTCACCACTACTCATGAGTCTAGGGAAATTCTTACCTCGGCTGACTCCTCTTTCCATACACAGTGTATGATCAGATATACCACCTAAAGCTTTGCCTTTGGAGAGGATTTCCCCTCATTCATGCAGGCCACCACTTAACGGGGCTGCAGTTCACCAGGAGTCCATTTTCAGCTTGTACCCACACACTGAGCCATCCATAAACCAAATTTGGCCTTTTCCCACCTTCATCAGGTGGTCATGAGGGGCCTCCTATGTGGTCATAGATGTTTGCTAAGGGCAAGTGCAACAGTGGTGGATGACAAGGGCTTCTGCAGTTTTCACCCTCTGGCCCTGCTCATGCCTGATCCTGGATGTCCTACTTCCATCTTACAATTGATGGCTTTTATGCCTGACCAACCTTATGACTTGGTGGGTCTGATAAACCCCCCACAATGGGTAGCTCTGGCTGCATGGTCGCTTGGTGTCTTATGGTCAGATGTTCCATCTCTACCAGGACCCAGGAGCATGCAAGGAACCCTCTTTTGAATGGTGTTTAGTTCTCTGCTATAGATGGCATACCCTTGCTCCAGAAGCTTAGAGTTCTAAATTCTGATTCTCCTGTGGGGTTTGCCGTACACTCTGCACAACATCTTTTTGTATCATAAGATCCAATGAGTTGACTAGATCAAGTGGCAGGCTGCTCCTACCACACTCTGAACCTGTTGCCCGGTCCTTTCTTTCTGAGCCCCACTCAGAGCTGGCAACCTTACATGTCACTTGTGTATTCTCAAGTCAGGAATGTACTGTCTCTCAAGAACCCAAAGAGGACTACCAAGAAAGCGTGGTGCTTTCTTCTTAGTTGTGAGAGGTATAAGATACAATAATATCTTCAGGGGGGTGGGATGGCCTGGAATGCTGCAGATTATTTGGTATTGACATAAAGTTTTTATTCCACCCTCTCCATCTCTCACATTAGCTAGTTTCTCTCTCTCTCTCTCTCTCCCTCTCTCTGTCTCTGGCTAGCATTCTCTCTCTCTCCCTTTAGCTAGTACTCTCACCCTTGCCCTTTATCTCTCTATCTCTACCTATTGATAGATTGAACTTTTTTCCCACAAAGTCTCCAACGCCCTTGCCAGTTCTTGGTCATCCAGGTGGATTAGCAAGATAGTGTGGATATAGTGAACATATATGTTCACTATACGTGTAGACTGCCCAGAAGGTCCTGGTCTCTTCAGACTCTACTGAGATAGAGGATGGTGAGTTCACGTCACCTTGGGGCAAGACCATAAATGTATACCATTGTCAGTTTCATTTGAATCGCTTCTAATTCTCCTTGCTGATTGAGATGGAAAAGAGTTAACTCGTTATGTAGGTCAATGCCCTTATACCATGTAACTGAAGCTGTGTTAACCTGCTGTAGAAAGATGTTACTTCTAGTGTGACAGTTCCAACTGGGGCTATGATTTGGTTGAGTTTTGGGGAGATCACATCATCCAACATGATCCCTCTGTTTTTTGTAGGGGCCATACTGGAGACTTAAATGGGGATGTGATGGGGACCACCACCTCATACATGCTTTAGATTTTAGGGGTGGCTTTAGTCTTTGCCATTCCCACATAGGAAACCATATTATCTTTTATTTCCTATCTTGGCCTGAGGCAAGAACAGTTTTAGAGCCTTTTGCATGGCTTTCCCCACTGCAATAACTCTTACTCCATAGGCCAAGGAGCCTGTCTGGGGCTTCTTTCAACTACCAAGTGTGTCCCTTCCAACTATACAGTCAGCAGTCAAGAAAATGACCACAGGGTGGATCCATTGACCCAGTGGACCCACTGTGAGCTGGACCCGACAGGGGCTTCATTTATTCCCTGGCCCCCATCTGCTCCCATTCTAACAGGGATCATGATGACACTTCGGGCCCCCAACTATCAATATCACCCAGGCTGTCTGTCCGACAGTCCTTAAATAGCTGGATATTCCCCTTTCTCTAGTGTATGGCTGCCTGAATCAATGACCTTAGAGGTACCTTTAGGGAAGGGCTGGGAGAATAATTATTGTCAGCATTTGCCATGGTGTTTCAGGATCCTTCTCAAAGGGCCTGGTCTCTCCTTCAGACCATGGGCTCAGATGTAGAAACTGGGCAAGGAATCATGCCTTTTATTGAGGAAACCGTGTTCAATCTCTTGATTGTTCATCCTTGATTCTTTTGGTTGTATAAACTCAGCAGTACCCTGCTGGCTGCTCATACAGTATGGGAAGCCTGGGAACACTATGTTCTACTAGTCATCTCACAGTTGTCTGTCCCTGGCTGCCTTACTGACCTGCAGGCTCATTATTATAATTGGACTCACCTTGCTTCTGATCATTACGTATGACCACCTGACTTCTATGCTATAGCCAGGCTATCATCCCCATTGTTAACAGGGAGCCCAGTTTTATAACAGTAATTCCTATTATCTCTCTCCTCTGGTCAACAGAGGACAGCCAGTACTGGGTTCCCCAGTGACACTGGTGCCCCTCTCACTAATGTATTCCTCATTGTTTCTGTGAATGGAGTCTGCTCTAGATCTCCCATTAACTAGATGTTTTACACTTACCTAGTATCAGAAGTTGGGATCCTCAGGAAGCAGACCCTGAGATGGAATTTAGTGCATAGGAAGTTTATTCAAGATGCTCCTGGGATCAGCAAATGGGAGAGAGAAATTGCCTCTGACGCAGTTTCCAAACAGACCCAGCTGTCTCCTCATGCGGTGCTGAGGTAGGGCCTGCCCTTCTGAGTTGTCCTGAGTTGGAGCAAGTGGGCCAGACATTTATACTCCTACCTCAGTCACTGTGTGCAGACTGCTCCTGGGAAGGAAGGGGCCACGGCCCTGGGAAAGGGCAGCTCTGTTCCTCTGTGGGCAATTCCAGAAAAAGCAGACGGCTGGGAGCAGTCAGCTGCTCGTACACTCCACGCGGCTGGGGAATAAGCCCTTCATGCCCAAAGAGGGATCTGGGAGGTGCATCGCAGCATCCACGATACCTAGGAAAGCCACTCTAACATCCCCAGCTCTCTGAGCCTTTTGGTCCCTTTGTCCACCATCTGCCACCAGAGTCTGGGATTTCTACTTCACAAATTTGCAGGAAAATTTAGATTTAAATCATTTCTAAAAATGTTCAGATATCTGAAAATTGGTAAAGACTAATTAGCCAAGTGATTGCTTGATTTTTCCACTTTAACTTTTAAACTGAATTACATGATGTCTAGCACGTAAAGCGTTTGTGAATTCTGGAACTTAGATTTGTATGTTTTAGAGACCACAGACTTCAATCAACAAACCAAAGAACTTCACAACAAATTGAGGAAGATTCCCTCTTGGAAAGTCCCCAGGGCCCAGTGTAACTCTGGCCATACAGGCTGGTATGGATGTCTTCTGCCTACTCTCTGAAAACAGGAAGCAAAAGGAGGACCTGGGTTGCCCTGGGGCTCCAAACAAGGGTGGAAAGGTGAATTTTGTAGGTGCCCAGGAATAGGGGCGCAGAGTTAATGAGGTGAGAATGAGTTTCTGACTTGTCACAGCCTCCATATCAGGACACAGTCACTCTGCTCAGTCTAGGGAGTGGTGTCAGAGTGCAGGTGACAGGAGTTGCCTAGGGACACATGGCTGGTGAGGTTATGCAGAGGCTAGAGAGGGCTAGGCAAGAATGGAAAGAGCATGGGTTCGAATGCTGAAAACCCAGGCCTGTTCTCAGTCCTAGGAAGAGTGGCCTCTGGAATTGCTGAGCATCTTCGTGATGCTGTTGTCTGAGTTGAGAGTGGACCTTCAACAGATGTTTATTTCATAGCACCGTGTAAGTCACTCACAGTCACAGAGGCACGGAATGTCAAGAGCCAGAACACCCCTTGGAGCAGCGTGGTTACTTGCCCAAGGTCTCCCTTGACTGTGATCTAGGTACCTTATTTCACATCCGTTTCCTTTCCTTTTGTTACCTTTCTGTCTTCTGTGTGAATTGTACTAGGGATTTTCAATTTCTACCCCAGCAAGTGTAAACTTCTCTGCTTGCTACTTGCCAAGTTTGCTACATTCTAGACAACCTCCCCGCCAACCTCAAATTATTTTCACTGCTCAGCACCCCTATTCTCTCACTGGCTGCCTTCCTGCTGTCTAACATGACTCCCTCCCCCTTCTTACTTCAAGGCTTTTGCTCATTCTCTTTCTCTTGTCAGACTTATTCTTTCCTTAGCTCTATCCAATTTCCACCCTTACTTTAAGTTCCACATAAAATTTTACCTTCTGTGTGAAAATCGTTTGACTTTTCCCAGTGATTCATCTTTCGCTTCTCTGCAATCCTTTGGTAGCCAGAGGCATATCAATGCAAGCTGACAATAAAGTACCTATTGTTTAATGAAGCTTGCATAGTGTTTCATGTGCATGAACTGTTTTTGCCCTAAAAAATAAAGGATTCTTAATGAAGGAGTCCTAATCTTCCTACACATTTTTTTTTGCTCTACGCAGGCCTCTCACTGTTGTGGCCTCTCCCGTTGCGGAGCACAGGCTCCGGACGCGCAGGCTCAGCGGCCATGGCTCACGGGCCCAGCCGCTCCGCGGCATGTGGGATCTTCCCGGACTGGGGCACGAACCCACATCCCCTGCATCGGCAGGCGGACTCTCAACCACTGCGCCACCAGGGAAGCCCTTTCCTACACTTTTGATAGGCACACACAGTTGTTGGTGAACACTAGCTGATGGAGCTATTCTTTCCTTATCCCTCAGCCAAAACCATCTAAGCTAGTAGTACAACCCCACACATACTCTGAGGGATAAATCAAAGTCCACACTTATCACCCCTTCCGCCCAATCCAGAAAAGTTCTATGCATCGAAAGACGCATCAACCCTTATGTAAGACCATGAGTTGTCAGTTGTTCCATCAATTTGGAAATCTTGACTTCCTGCTTTGCACAGTGGTTTGACCATGCTGCCAATGTACTTCACTAACGAAGTCTGTCAGATCCTGCTTGGTTCTCAGCCTCTTTGTCTCATATCAAGCGTCCTTAACCCCACTTATAGGCACATCCATCTCCCAAACTCCAAGAAAAAGCATACGTTTTCCCATGACACATTTAAGGAATGACAGCAGTCCTTTGTGATTCCAATCCTCCAGACCTTGGGCTGGAAAGTCAAATAGTTGACCCTGGCCTTACTTTGGAGACTTGAGCTCCACGTTTGCTCTAGGTCTGAGATCTGGATCCTGTCTTATTCTCTGTCTCAGAAATGCAACCAGTATTCCAGCATCTGTCTTTTAGAGGGTTTATACTGCCTCGCACATGTCCCTGTTTCTGCCTGCCTCTCTGGCCTCCTGGTATTGCCCTCAACTGGCTTCCCTTTTAAAATCATATTAAATGCCTTGACACCAGTCTTTTGCCTAATTCCCACCTAAGTCCACACTCTATCTGTTGGAGTCAACTTCTTTCAGGCCTGTGGTAAAATCTGGACTCTGCCTGCTTTAGCATACAAGTGGGATTTATTCTGAGCTCCATCCTTCTCAGGTTGTCCTGGGCTCTTATATGTAACTTAACCATATGCTGGGAAATAATAAGAGCAAGTGTCATCAAAACTCAAGTAAGGTTCAGCATGAGGTACATTGACAACTTGACAACCAAGATGTGAAGTGAAGGACAGGCGGGGAAAGGAGGAGTCTGTGGGTGAACCCTGGGAGAGCAGTGCAGTGAAGACGTAACGGGGAGCTTGGTAACCAGGAGAGGTTCAGTTGGGCTCTGAGCTCAAACCAAGTGGGAGGGGCTGCTGTCACAGTCCAGGTGGAGGCAGGAGATACCTACAGCTACATGAATCATGATGTTATGGAGGGCCCAAGAGAGCTAGGCCACAGTAGAGTCAGGTCCCTACACGGAGGGGAAACTGAGGCATGAACCCAGTAACAGACAAGACCAGTATTGTAGGAAGAGCCTCGGTGAGCCCTTCGGATCCCGGGACTCTTGGCAAAACTTCAGATACCCAGTCCCCAAGTCAGAAAGGCTGAGGTGCTGAAATATTTTCTTCTCTAGTGAGGCAGTCAGGATAGACTGGGGAAAGAAACAACCTCAAACTGTCAGTGGCTTAAAACATCACAGGTTGATTTCTTGCTTTCCTACCATCTAGAGGTGGTGATGTAGGGTCAGGGGCAGCTCTGCTTCACAGAGACGTCACTCAGGCTCACAGGCTGACGAGGTAGCATCATTTCTGGTGCTGATATATCACCAGGAGGTTGGGCTGGGGAATTTGCCTCTGAGGTTTGCCTCTGGGTTCACTGCCATGAAGTCTGGAGAGTTGAGTTTAAGCAGTTAAATGTTCTGGACTCTTTTGCTCACCTTTCATTGACCCAAACTACTCACGTGGACACACCTAACTTCAAAGAGTAGGGCTACGTAATCTTCTTTGTACCTGGAAGGAGAGGAGAACGAGATGTTGGAATACTAGCAATGCCTATCAGAGTCAGAATTGACTCATAAACTGGGTTTTCTATGGCTATCCAGGCAGACCTCGCTTTATTGCGCTTCACTTTATTGCGCTTCACAGATTGTGTTTTTTACAAATGAAGGTCTCTGGCAACCCTGCATTGAGCAAGTCTATCTGTACCATTTTTCCAACAGCATTGGCTCACTTCTTGTCTCTGTGTAACAGTTATGTAATTAACGTAATATTTCAAACTTTTTTTATTATTTTAGTTGTTATGGTGCCCTGTGATCAGTGATCTACTATGTTACTATTGTAATTGTTTGGGGGCACCATTAAGCTCACATATGAGAACTAACTTAATTGATAATTCTTGTGTATGTTCTGCTGCTCCACCAACCAGCCATTCCCCCATCTCTCTCCCTCTCCTCAGGCCTCCCTATTCCCTGAGACACAACAGTATTGAAATTAGGCCAATTATTATTATTATTATTTAAAACATCTTTATTGGAGTATAATTGCTTTACAATGGTGTGTTAGTTTCTGCTTTATAACAAAGTGAATCAGCTATACGTATACATACATCCCCATATCTCCTCCCTCTTGCGTCTCCCTCCCACCCTCCCTATCCCACCCCTCTAGGTGGTCGCAAAGCACCGTAATAACCCTGCAATGGCCTCTAAGTGTTCAAGTGAAAGGAAGTGTCGCACATCTCTCACTTTAAACCAAAAGCTAGGAATGATTAAGCTTAGTGAGGAAGCCACGTCAAAAGCCAAGATAGGCTGAAAGTGAGGCCTCTTGGCCAAACAGTTAGCAAAGTTGTGAATGTAAAGGAAAAGTTCTTGAAGGAAATTTAAAGTGCTACTTCAGTGAACACAAAGGAAAGCAAAACAGCCTTATTGCTGATATGGAGGAAGTTTTAGTGGTCTGGATAGAAGATCAAACCAGCCACAACATTCTCTTAAGCCAAATCTTAATCCAGAGCAAGGATTAATTCTCTTCAATTCAAAAGGTTGAGAGAGGTTAGGAAGCTGCAGAAGGAAAGTTTGAAGCTGGCAGAAGTTGGTTCATGAGGTTTCAGGGAATAAGCTGTCTCCATACCATAAAAGTGCAAGGTGAAGCAGGAAATTCTGATGTAGAAGCTGCAGCAAGTTATCCAGGGGATGTAGCTAAGATAATTAAGGAAGGTGGCTACAGATATTCAGTGTAGATGAAACAGCTTCTATTGGAAGAAGATACCATCTAGGGCTTTCATAGCTAGAGAGGAGAAGTCAATGCCTGACTTCAAAGCTTCAAAGAGCCCCCCAGCTCTCTTGTTAGGGGCTAATGCAGCTGGTGACCTGAAGTTGAAGCCAATGTTTATTTACCATTCTGAAAGTCCTAGGACCCTTAAGAATTATTCTAAGTCTACTCTGCCTGGGCTCTATAAATGGAACAACCAAGGTGGATGACAGCACATCTGTTTACAGCATGGTTTACTGAATATTTTAAGCCCACTCTTGAGACCTACTGCTCAGAAAAACAGATTCCTTTCAAAATATTACTGCTCATTGACAATGCACCTGGTCATCCAAAAGCTCTGATGGAATGTACAATGAGATTAATGTTGTTTTCATGCCTGGACACAATGTCCATTCTGCTGCCCATGGATCAAAGAGTAATTTTGACTTTCAAGTCTTACTATTTAAGTAATAAATTTCATAAGGCTATAGCTGCCATAGATAGTGATTCTTCCAACTGCTCTGGGTAAAGTCAGTTGAAAACCTTCTGGAAAGGATCCAACATTCTAGATTCTATGAAGAACATTCATAATTCATGGGAAGAGGTCACAATATCAACAATAACGGGAGTTTAGAAGAAGTTGATTCCAACACTCATATATGACTTGGAGGGGTTCAAGACTTCAGTGGAGGAAGTAATGACAAATATAGTCAAATGCCAAGAGAACTAGAATTAGAAGTGGAGCCTGAAGATATGACTGAGTTGCTGCAATCTCATGGTAAAACTTGAATAGATGAGGAGTTGCTTCTTATGGATGAGCAAAGAAAGTGATTTCTTGAGATGCAATCTACTCCTGGTGAAGACGCTGTGAAGATTGTTGAAATGACAACAAAGGATTTAGAATATTACATACACTTGGATGATAAAGCAGCAGCATCAGGGTTTGAGAGGACCAACCCCAATTCTGAAAGCAGTGTTACTGTGGGTAAATGCTATCCAATCCCACTGGACACTACAGAGCGATCGTTCATGAAAAGGAAGAGTAAACTGATGCAGCAAACCTCATTGTCATCTTATCTTAAGAAACTGCCACAATCTTCCCAACTTCAGCAACTACCACCCTGATTAGTCAGCAGCCATCAACGCTGAGGCAAGACCCACCACCAGCAAAAAATTATGACTCACTACAGGCTCAGATGATGGCTAGAAATATTCTGAATTAAGATATGTGCACTGTTTTTTTAGACATAAGGTTATTGCATAATTAACGGACCACAGTATAGTATAAATGTAACTTTTATACACACTGGGAAATAAAAATATTGGTGTGACTTGCTTTATTGCGCTATTCCCTTTACTGTGGTGGCCTGGAACTGAGCCCACAAATTCTCCGAGGTATGCCTGTAAATTATATGCATAGGCTTGGTGGGAAATGGGGGGGAAGTTCATTGTTGTCCGGTGCTGGGAAGAGTAGAGTAGAAGGAAGAGTTAGCAGCCAAATCCTTAGTGTCAAAAATCTTCTATAAAGTAAAATATATTCTGAAACATAACCGCAATTTGGAGCCTAGAGCAAGAATTCACCTTTGGATGGGCCAACTCTAGCTTCTGGGCATATGTCTTCTAATTCATTAAGTAGTGCCGCCCTTAGTATATGAGAACAATATAAAGCTAAACCACTGCCATCGGAATTGGCTGTATTTTTTTTCCGGTAGGGAAGGTGTTTCTGCAATGAACTGTCCATGCTCTCTCTCTCCTTGTTCTCATTATGCAAATCACACCATGTATGAGCTGGTTGGCTCTGCCTAGAGCTGTGGTCCATGGCTACTAAAAAGTCCTGTAACTGGTCTGGGAATTGAGTCATCTTTGGTTTTATCAGCATCATGCCTTGACTGACCTATTCAGTCATTGCATCCCAGGAGCTTATTGAAATAACTTAAGTTTTCAAAAAATGGAATACAACTAATTAGACGTAACTCAACTTATATTCTAAGAAAATTCCTAAACAACTATATACACGCATATACTCATGCACACAGAGACAAATCATACAAATTCTCTACCTTTCAGAACAAGGAAGTTGTAATTAGCAGTTTAAGGACCACTTTGAAGAATCTATATAATGCCATAGAGTAATGAGTCATTTCAATTGTAAAACCCACTGTGGAACTAACTCTGCCACAGATCCCTCAGTGGACAGTCAAAAGAAGTAGGCAGAGCTTCCAGTGTCAAGACTAAGAGTGTGGAACAAACAAGGATCTACCGTATAGCACAGGGAACACTGCTCAATGTTATGTGGCAGCCTAGATGAGAGGGGAGCCTGGGGGAGAATGGATACATGTATATGTATGGCTGAGTCACTTTGCTGTGCACCTGAAACTATCACAACATTGTTAATCGACTATACTCCAATATAAAATAAAAAGTTTTAAAAAAAAGACAGTGTGGAAGGGTTTCAAAGAGGGGACTAAGATCGGGGGATTACAACTGCAGAAGATTCAAGTTGGCTCACTCTTGAGAGTCTTTGTAAGAAGGTACACCCAGCATACTCCATCACATCCATCGTGGGGTGATGCTCTCAAAGCCTTCGTCACCTCCCAGACTGGAAACCACATTGACAGCATTTCTTGTTATACTGAGCCATGCAAGGATGGAAGATGCTTAGAAATTGCTTGTGGATGTTCATACTGTGGTTATTTGACTGGAGAAGCATTCCCTTCTTAAAAACCAGCTGTCGTAGGCTTTTCTTGGCTTCGGGTGAAGAGGTGACTTCCCTCTTTGATTCAGTGTTCGTAATTGGGCTCTCTGTTAGCAGAGGTGGTGAGAAAACAATGCTAATGAGGTCAGGGGTTCAGTGCCCACGTGGGTCTGTTATCTTTCTTTTGTTCTCTGGCCAAAAGTCTATATCCTTTAACTGTGTCCAGCTACTATGATGAGAATAGAGACGACAATTGGGAGAGAGTAAGGGAATGTGGATGAGTCTATAATCCTATTCTTCCTACAGTGGAAAACAACTCCAAGTTCATGTCCTTTTGCGGCAAAGTCATCTTCAGGGTTGAAGGACTGCCCATTAAGAAGCAGTAAGGAAATTGAAAGGTATAGTTCCACAGTGGTGGTAAGGAGGCTGAAGCTACAGGATCAATGCTCACAGCTAGAGCATCACTTGGTCATTTATGCTAATAAGAAGATAGCAGTTGCACAGATGACTATTATACAGCCAATTTTCAATTTCTTATTAGCCAAAGTTTCAACATTTCTAGACATCTGTGTAAGGAGTAAAGTGAATTGGTTTGAGATTTTTTTTTTTTTCTCAGCCACTAGCTATTGAAGATTCTAATGAACAATGAAATGCCCACAGTTACCCAGAAATAGAAGGCCTGAGTATTCCCACAAGTAGGGCTCAGCCCTGGAGTGACTTAGACCTGGCTTTTTAATCGCAATTCATAATTCCTCATGCTATGCACTGTTTTCTCAGAATTACTATATCTTCTGGAATGTTATGTAGCAATATAAATCAAAGTAGGCACTGACCAAGCATGATGAAAAAACTATGGGCTTCTAAGTTGATCTTATCACCCAGTTATGTGTGTGTGTGTGTGTGTGTGTGTGTGTGTGTGTGCGCGCGTGCGTGCGCGCACGCGTGCATACTTGGGGAAGCTACTTAACTGCTTTGAGCCTCAGTTTCCTTGCTTGTAAAGTGGGGGTATTGATGTTTATCTCATAGGGCTGTTGGAAGAATCAGATGACAGAATTAGGAGAAGTCTGGCAAGTCTAACGTGGTACCTGGCATATTGTAAGTATTTTCCCAGATGACTTGAGTTCTTATTATCAGCATTGCGTATATTTATTTTAATCATCTGACAAATTTCCCCCCCTTGATTGCAAAACCAAATGTATAGGGCATCTACTACTAATACCTCATTAGCATATGTTGTCGATTGCCTTCCCTTACTCCTCAGCCCACCAGAATTCACAGGCAGCTGCAATAGGCAGGTGACATCTTCCCACCTCAGGGACCTAGGTCTTTCCTCTTCTTTGCCTAAGGGCATTCAAAGGCACTTACACAACCTAGAAGCATAAGAGTTTATGCTCCAAGGGCAGCTTCAGCCCCAACCAAATGCAAGATGCCTATAGGTGGAGCAATTCTGAGACATACTCCACATGATTTCCCAGAAGATTCTCAGTGTGATTGAGCTGAAGCCACCCACCATGGAAACCCACTCAATAATGCAACTTTTTTTTTTACTTTTCTCCCTTCTCTGTCTCACTTTCCCCATTTCTTCACTTATGATTCCTGGACTCACTTTGCAAATAAATTCCTAGTCCCTAATTTCTTATCTCAGGGTTTGTTTTGGGGGAACCCAAACTAAGACATCTACCTCATAGCGTTTTAAAAAAAATTTTATGCAGTAAAATTGACTTTATTTTTGGTGTGTAGTTCTATGAGTCTTGATGCATACATTTATATACCCACAACAACAACCAGGATACAGAACAGTTTCCTCCCCCTAAAAATTCCCTTTGTAGTCAAACTATCCCCCAACTCTTAACCCATGGCAACTGTTCCTATAAGATCTCCTTTTTCAGAATGTCATAGAGTGTGTACCCTTTTAAGACTGTCTCCTTTCTTCAACTTAATGCCTTTGACATTCATCCACGTTGGTTGTGTATACTAATTCATTCCTTTTCATGGCCGAGCAGCATTCCATTGCACAGATGTGACAAAGTTTGCCAATTCATTTCTTGAAGGACATTTGTATTGTTTCTAGTTTTCAAAGATTATGAATAATCCTGCTCTAAATATTCACAGAGGTTTTCATTTCTCTAAGATAAATACCTAGAAGTGGATTTGCTGGATCATATGGTAAGTGTATGTTTAACTTTATAAGAAACTGTCAAAATTTTCCAGAGTGGCTGTACAATCTTGCACTCCCATCAGCAATGTGTAGGAGTTCCAGTTGCTCCACATCTTTGATAGCACTTGGTATTGTCATGACTTTTTATTATTTTAGCCATTCTACTAGGAATGTAATGGTATTTTTTTGTAGTTTTAATTTGCATTTCCCTAATGGCTAATGATGGTAAGCATTTTTTCATGTGCTTAATTAGCATTATATTTTTTCTTTGTAGAAGTGTCTGTCAAATCTTTTGCTCAGCTACTTAATTGGGTGATTTATTTTCTCACTGTTGAGTTTTGAGTGTTCTTTATATATTCTGGATATAAGTCCTTTATTAGACATGTGATTTGCAAATATTTTCTCCCACTCTGTAGCTTGTCTTTTCCTTTCTCTTCATCATAGGGCTTTAATAAGGACTAATGTGTTTATACACTAAGTTCTTTAAAAACTAAATAGACATGCTGTTTTTCTGTCAGTTGGGGGAAGGCAATATGGAGAAAAGTTTGATTTGGGACTCAGGCAAACCTGCGTTTGAATCCTGGTTCAGTCACCCACAAACTGCTTTGCCATGGACTATTCTGTTAGTTTTCTCATCTGTAAAGTATAGACCACAGTACTTAGCACACAGTGCTTCTGTGAGGATTAAATGAGATAATATGTGTGAAGGACTTAGCCTAGTGCCAGGATGTTGTAAGTGTTCAATAAATGTAAAGATTATATTCTTATTATACAATATTCTCATTTCCAAGCCTTTGCATAATCTGCTCCCTCTGCTTAGATTGTCCTGCTGTACGTCTTATCCCTCTCTCCCTTATTTTCTACTTACCTAAGATGATTCCAATTTAGGGGGCTTTGCTGGACATCACCAGTTTGGGCCAGATGCCCCTTCTTGGGGCTCCATGGTACCCTTTAATCACCTTGCATCACTCTGTATTTTAAGCATCATAAGCTGTGGGCGACTCGGGGCAGGGCTAATGTCTTTATCATCTAAAATTATTCCAGGTCGCGTTTGATGAATGAATGAATGAATAAATAAATGAACGAATTCATCTCATGAATTGTTGGGGATTCCAATTAGACATCCCTCTGAATATTGCCGAATTCAGTCCCTTTAAGGCAGCCTTAAACATCCCAAATGGATGTCTGTGACTTACACCAGGACCCGGCTTGCAATCAGCCAAACAGTCACTGCATCTTTGACAAGCTGGATGCCGAATGGAGAAACTTGAATGCTTTGCATTTATTTACTTTTACCACGTGCCATAAAAATTAAAAATACATTGTACCACAAGTGCAGTATTTAGTGTCTCACTTTAATTACATTCAAGTGTGTTGCTAAATAGTCTTGAGAAAACCTTAATGACCAGCTGTTCTACCCTTTTCCCATATGTCAGAAATGGTTTCTGAAATCACATTCCGGTACAGTAGGGTTGTATAATTAGACAGCGTATAGTTAACACTTCTAGATTTTCCGCTTAAACTGTGGACCCTTTACACTAACATACTGTGTGATTCTGCTGGTTTGGCGCAATGCAATTAAATGACATGCCAAATAGCAATGGAGATATGCAAACTCCATCAGACTTGTTATCACTGCATCATTATTTGCTCATATCTTTTTCATCGTCAGGATGGCATGCTTTTGTGTGTGTGCTATGCAATATTCAGCATGTTTGGCTGACAAATAAACTTAGTAAAAAGGGCTGTAAATTTTTAATATTCCCTTCATAATGCCATTTATCTCACTAGAATTAGATGTGAGAGTGGCTTTTGCATCCTTTTGAACAAAGAGCTATCACTTGAATACACAGCAACCATTTAAGGAAACAAAACTAAACTAAACTAAAATTCCCCAAGGTTGTAATAGAAGTCAATATTTTACACTGCTTCTGGTGGGGAAATGGGGATTTTAGCTATCCCCAAACTGGATTAGGGAGATAAAAGAAGTTGAATTTGACAATTGATTATTGTGAAAATAAATCATTAGTTACTTGCCATTGCTTGACTCTGAGCTTAATGAGTTGTTTTGAAACCATAGTAATATCTTATTGGCTTAAATTTGGTTAATTCTTTGATTTTTGAGTATAGACAAGAGGCTGAAACAGAAATATAAAATAAGGAAATGGGAAAATTCTATGAACTAATAATATTCTTTGGCTCTTCCTTTCCTTCTCCCCCAAAGAAAATGTCCTTGACATTGTCCCAAATTTCAAGTCAAAACATAACTTTGATTTCTGATTGAGAATTGCCCAGATAAATATATTAAAACCAAGTCACAGGTGAAGCTTTCTCGAGTCCTAAACAGCAAATTCATTTTTGAAAAAGCTAAGAGAGAGCTTCACTGTTCTAAGACCGATTTACACCATTTTTTTCTTCTAAGCTTGAATTTCCAATGACTTATTTAGATGTAAGCACTGACAGCTGTAATCATGTTTTAAATCTTGCTTTGTATCCTTAGTTATAATGTTGTTCAATTAATATTCAGAATAATGGAAGTGATGCGCCGTTTTGAAAAAGACTTGAATACAGTCCAGTGCTTTGGGAAACTGACTCTCGAGAGCATTAATCAGCATTTAAAACTTGCATTAACAAAAATCTGATCTTCCGCCATGCGGCATGCATAATACTTTTCGTTTTTAGACATTTTAGCTCAATACTACGGCATCCTTTGTCCTGATTTTTTTTTAATGATTTTAAAATTGAGCTCCTTCAGATCAATTTTGCCTTGACCCTTGTGCATAATTGGACACTTGCAATTGAAAAATGTAAGGATGCTCTTTTGCATGGTGCACTAAACTATATTTCCATTATTAAAGATAAGGGCAATAGTGGACTACAACTTAGTACTTAACATTTCAGGGTTTTCCCCTCAATTTATATCCAAAAAGTTTTCAATCTTTCTTCAAAGCTCAATGATCCAAACCCAGTCCTTGAGAGGAAAAGAGCTAAAAATGATGTTTTAATAACGAAAAATGATCAAGGGTAAAACAATTGATGATTAGTGGTCTCTTCTTATTTGTTTTTAAATAAGTGTAAATCACACTGAGTTATTTACATGTAAACAAGGGTTTGGGTTCTAAAGCTGAAATAAAATGACATGATGGAAAATGAACTGGGAGACAGTGGACTGAGGGCTCTGTTGGGCTCATAGCTAAATGGGAATGAAATCGATTTTAGAAACAGGGAAGAAAGATGATTGTGAAAGCAGAACAGAAAAACCTTGCTGTTTTATCCTAGTAAAGTGATCGGCTGTTTTATGACCAGAAATAAAGTCAAGTGAGCACACACTTCTGTGGGTTTCGTCTCTCCTTAGCCCAGCGGCTTGCTCTCTGGCCCAGGACCCGTCGTGTTTCCTCTGCTGAGACCACACTGCTGACCCTGGTGCTAACTGTGGCCTGGAAGGATTTTATTCTTCCCTTTGCATGTTTTTAGAAAAACCTCTTGGCTTCAGTGATAAAGCAGTGGACACTGCAGAGCAGGTTCTTATTGCTGCTGGCCTTACTTGGATTTTGTAACAGGCACAGCAAATGGTCGATAAATGCTCATTGGAAGAATCTCTTTAAAAGCCCTAATTAAGTGCCTGCCTGCCAGGGTTGTGCAGGTTTCCACTCAGAACTTTGCTCACGTGGCCCTCCTTCTCAGCAGAGGGGTCCCTGCTTTGGCAGCCTCTTTGAGTCCCACGACTCCTCTGAGATGGAGAGTGAAGGACATACAGAGAGAGAGTGATGGAGGCCCTCGGAAAGGTGCGGGGCAGCTGCCCGCTGAAGGAGCTAAAGGTGCTGCGTGCAGAAGGGAAATGGGGAGCCATCGGCTTCTGACTCGGGGGCTAAACACGGGCAGGATAGATAGTCAAGAAAACAAAAGTATTTATTTAAGTGGTATTTAAACACTGTTT